ACCTTCCTTACTAATGCCGAGTGGTACATTTGGTAGTTCATAGCCCAGCTGTAAGGAATAAACAGGCAGTAGATACTAGGGAAGGAAAGAATTTTTTCAAGTATTTTCGCTGATTGATCTTGATCTATTGGAACTGCTGAGCTGCCAGTGCAGTGGTGGGTTTTAAAAGTAAGCGGTTACGAAATAGTTTAGAAAATCAGCAGGAGTTGAGTTACTTTCTTCATACACTCCTACACACAAGAGCTTTGCGAGTCAGGCAAGGCCTAGTTTGCATCCACATAGGCTTTGCTTTTCAGACAGAACTTTATTCCAAATAATTTTGACTGGCAGTCTTTGGGATGTCAGTGTCTGTGAGGTGTGCTTGGCTAAACCTTTCTCTTGAAGGCCTCTCTAGTCCAAGTGCACCGGCTCGCTTTAGACTCACTGCATGATCTTTGATGTCTGCCAAACACTATCTATGGTTTCTTCGAAATGGTCTGTGCGCTCCCTCTCAGTGGCGCAATGCTTGGCTGGCAGTTGACTAAACCCTTGGTTTAAACTGGTGCTACGCCACCACCAAGAGAATTCAGAGCTCTTCGCAAAACAAAGCTATCGTGGTGCCTAGGGTGTGTTTATAAAGCAGTGAGCTGGCGGAGCGGGGCCATGGTGACAGGGAACAGCCGATCGCTCTTCTGAAATTACAGCTGCTTGTGGATGGCACTGCAGCTGCCCTGCGTGCCTGGGGAAAACAACTGGGGACGCTTCGCTGCTGTAGCTCCTGGGTTTGTTTATGTGTAGTAAGTGGTAAAAAGCCCATTTAGATTTGGGACTGGGGAGGAGACGAGGATTGTCAGAAGTTTTTAAAAATTGCTTATAGAATATTTCAACTGGAGGGGACCTACAATGATCACCTAGTCCAACTGCCGGAGTAATATGGAGCTGACCGAAAGTTAAAGCGTGGTAAGGGCATTGTCTAAATCCCTCTTAAGCCCTGACCAGCTTGGGGCATTGACCACCTCTCTAGGAAGCCTGTTCCAGGGTCTGACCACCCTCTTGGTAAAGAAAAGCTTCCTGAAGTCCAGTCCGAACCTACCCTGGTGCAGCTTTGAGCTATTCGCATGTGTCCCATCACTAGGTCCCCAGGAGAAGAGCTCAGCACCTCCCTCCCCGTGTCCCCTCCTCGGGCAGCTGCAGGGAGCTGTGAGGTCACCCCTCAGCCCCCTGCTCTCCAAATGAGTGGAGCCTGGAGCCCTCAGCCGCTCCTGGGAGGACATCGCCTGCCAGCCCTCGCCAGCCTCATTGTGCTCCTCTGGACGTGTTCAAGGACCATCATTCACATCGTTCTCACCTTCATCATCTTTCACAGCTCGAATACTGTGTTCAGCTTTGGGCTGCTCACTACAAGAAGGAGGTGCTGGAGCGTGTCCAGAGAAGGGCAGCGAGGCTGGGGAGGGCTCTGGAGAACAAGTCTGATGAGGAGCGGCTGAGGGAGCTGGGGCTGTTCAGTCTGGAGGAGGCTGAGGGGAGTCCTTCTCGCTCTCTACAGCTCCCTGACAGGAGGTTGGAGTGAGGGGGGTGTTGGTCTCTTCTGCCAAATAGCTAGTGACAGGATGAGAGGCAATGGCCTCAAGTTGTGTCAGGGGACGTTCAGATCGGATATTAAGAA